ACCAGTTTAGAGTATAGGAGAAAGATGGCAGCCTCCAGGAGGAACAATGGATGGATACCTGATGGGTTGGTCATATTCAGAGAATAGTTTTTGTTATTTGATAAAGTTTTGTTGAATTGGTGAAAAGTACATAAAAATCAAGCAATTGATAAAAGCTAGTTATTCATTCCATAGAAACCCTCAAATCATAGAGAATCAGAAGCATAATGCACTATATGCCTCAATTATAAAATGATAATTATAAAAGCATAAAACACAAGCATTCCTCAAATATAACTGCTTTGAATATATGGGCTGGTTAAGGTTTATTTAACTGAGAGAAATAAGTCTCCATCCTCCATTTTTTCATTTAATAAGTTGATATACATTGTCCAAAATTGAAAATTTAAGTGATATAAAGCGTATTATTTAGAAATATGAAGGAAACACCACAGTTGGTGAGAAAAGAGTTGAAGTAAAGGCACATGGATCATGAGACCCACTGATTTCATAACCTGAATCTCTACAAAGATCCAAAACACTTTGGTGATTCAGAATATGGAATTCAGAAATGTTCAATTTAGAGAAGCAATTGCAATGCAAAAATAATATTTATTGTATAGCACTACCAGTAAAGTTTTAGGCAGCTCTTGTTAATCATATTCATATTTCTGATATATGAATTTGAATGATCATAGTTCATAGACTATAAAAAAAAGATCTTGCATAGTCTTAGGTAACTGGTAAGATTTTGGCTACCAAATTGATTTTTTTTAATTTTTCAAAAACTTGGAAAATTTGAATTAAGGAGAGAAATTTTTTACATGTTTGAAATTTTATTTTTAAAATCATCTATGTGTTATCATTTGATAAAAATATAGATCTACATTTAAATGGCAGATAAATAAATAGTAAACTATCATAAAATGAGAAATAAAGATGACTTGACTAGTCATTTTCAGATAAACATGCAGTTTATAAAATACACCTGATGAAGATATGTAAGAAAGGGCAGAATAGGTCTTGGATTTGGTGCTCAAGTAGCTAGATAAAAAATGAACCAATGCAATTCATATGAGTATAAACAAATCCATAAAACTAAATATATAAAACAATAAATTCAGATTATCATAAAATAAAATATAATAATGCAACATTAAATTGTTAAATCACATGAGAGTATATTAAACTTACAAAAGGACTCACCATGATTAATATAGAGAGTATGGAGTAGGTTGACAATAGTCTCAGAGTACTACTCTTCTTAATGATTTCAGTGTTTCCACATCAGAGTCTACAATATGATGGAAAGGAATAACCTAGCAGGCCTGGGTTGCTCAAACTGTACATCCCCAAGACTGTTTCGTCAGGACTGACCCTTGGCTGACTTCTGAGAGCTGAGCTTTGGAAGGTTTTGCCTGACAAATGTTTTTGTATGCCTGCCTGCTTGGGCCATGTTGTGCCATTTTGACCAGATAGTTTATGCTAATGATATGATTTATAGTGGACACCTGCTTTTTCAAAACTGTAGGGCTCTGGAATTTCTGAGTAGCAGAGTAGCTGAAGACACAAGTCATATTCGATGCTCAACTGATCACCAATAAAAACTCTGGCACCAATGCTCTGGTCAAGTTTCTAGTTAGCAATACCTCACACATGTTTTCACACATCATTGCTAGAAAAATTCCGTTTCTCCTATGAGCCTGCACTGGGAGAGGCACCCAGACCTTCCAATATATCTTTTCCCTTTTCTGTATCCTTTTATTGTCATGAGCTATAACCCTGGACATAAGAGCTTGTGAATGCTGTGGGTTCGCTAGGGAACCACTGAGTCTGAGGGTGTTCTAGGAAATATTACCATCAATGTGAAATTTGACACTACTGAAGCATGCATGTTTTTCTGGTGCCAGAAAATTAGGTTTCTAGGACTGCTTTCTTCAGTTGAAGTTGCCAGTTATTGGTACTCTCATTTACCATGAATTTCTTTCAACTTTGGATATTATGCTTTGTTATTTTACATAATTCCTAGCCCTCTAAAATTTTAAAACTTTACCATTTGTAGAATCAAGCAATGACTAACTGCCATCCGGATATTGTCTAAACAGATCTATCACATCATTAGTTTTTTAGTTGAAACTTAATTCTGAGTTTTGCTGTGATTCCCATAGAGGAGTATATATCATCATCAAAGACTATCCTATTAAAATGAGACAGAGTCTGGGAGAAACTGTTAACCTTCCAGCTTACTTCAAGGTGGCCAACCTAGCACAATTTCATTTATGCAAAAGGTAATGTAAAATTGATAGCAACCAGTACCAAGAACAAATACACATTGCTTGTTATCTAATTTATAGAACTGTAGAGCAGACTAACTAAAATAAGGCACATGGAAAGGGCTTTATAAACACAGTGGTTCTAGTCATTGGCATTACTATGAATTTACAGATTTAAGCAATTAACAACTTGATCAATTTGTTTCTTTTACTCAAGTCTGACTCTCTCTTCAGCTTCACCATTGGAAAGAGGAACATTCTGAGTTTGCCCCTGTCTGGATGGAATCCCAGTGAGAAAGGAAAGGATTTTTAGAGTAATATCCTGCTTAACAAGCTAGAAATAAGGCTTCCCCAAAGTCAGGCTCCATAAATTCCTCTTGAATTTTCTGTTACCAGATAGTTGGAATAGACCACATACCCAAAGGAGCTTCTAATTTGAAGAATAATTAGAGCAGATTCTTTCTGACTAATGAGACTGTGTTTTCAAGGTTGAGCACAAAGTGTGGGGAGACTAAATTTTTTTTGTATGTAAACAAAGAAGCATCTGCCAGGATCATTAACTGAACTCTCTTCTCTAATACATCACTGTTTTATTCGTTCTGTCTTTGAGCTGTTGCTTCTGCCAAGCATGCCCTGCCCCTTGCTGTGCTGTCTGGTCCTTCTGTCTCTAGTTATAGGAACAAGAAGCAATCCTGCAGGGACAGCATCAAATCTTTTCCATCCTTCTGTGTTTTCAAAAATCCGTTTTTATGAAAATGAATGTCAACTGTACAAAAAGATGACTGTGACCATAAAGAGAATACCTGGAAAATAACTTTCTGAATAAACATGTTTTATTTCCCTAGTAAGAAGTGATACATTGTAATTTGTAAAGGAAAGAAACAATCTCTGGCCTTTATAAATCTCCTACTACTTTTTTGTTTACCTTAGGTCTCATTTGCAGAAGCCTCCTGGCACTAAGAAGAGGGGAATTCAGCCTTTTTTCCTCAGTGGGGAATCTGCAGATAACCTTTTTATATGTTTTTATTTTTAGTACTGGGGATTGAACCCATAGGCATTTTACTGCTGAGCCACATCTCCAGTCTTTTTTAAATTTTCTTAATTTTGAGACACTCTGGCTACATTGCTTAGGGTCTGTCTTAGGTGTCCATCCTGGGCCTCAAAACTGCAATCCTTCTGCCTCAGTCTCCCAAGGTGCTGAGATTAGAGATGTGTGCCCTGGTGCTTGGCTAAATCCACCCTTTTAAAGAGAGAAGAAGATGATGGCATGACTCAAATTATAGAATGTAACAACGTATGAATCTGCATTTTCTTATCTTTGTATTTTCTTTTTAACTTTTATATTTTGCATCCCTCAGGATTTAATAAAAAATGAAGGTACATTTTTGAAGAAACACAAAGACTGTTACCAAGGAAAATTTAGTAAATAAATATGATCATAAATTAATTGCATTGGACCCAGGGAAGTCAACATAGTTTTTCTTTGGTTGGGGTTTCTATTTGTGGCCTCTGGTCAGCAAGGGGTACTTCTGTGGATGGTCAAAGCCAGGACTGTAACAAAAACCCTTTCTTAGAACTGAAATTAAGTCTTCAGCCTGAGGCTTAGTTCAGGTCTAATCCTGCAGAGAACCTGAGTGTTTTCTTAGCATTTATGACTCTAGACAACCACCATAACTGAAATAATAATAATAATAATTTGAGGCAGATCATCAACTTAAATGTAAAACATATTCTACAAGGGGAAAAAATAGGAAAACAACCTCACAATCTTGGAGTCAGTGAAGATTTCTGAGACAGGATACAAAAGGCACTAACCATAAAAGGAAGTGGAATGATCTGGAAATTAAAAAGTAAAAGTTTCTGTTTTTCATCATCAAAGAACCCATTAAGCCACACATGGAAAAATATGTGAAATACATATGTCTAATAAAGGAATTATAACCAGAATACATAAAGACCTCTGTAGCTTGGTCAAAATAAAAAGATGAGCCAGTTTTGAAGATGAGAACAAAGATCTCACAAAAGAATGGAATGTGTGGAGTGTCCAGCAAGCTGGTAAAAGGGTGATCAAGATCATCAGTCATCAGAAATAATTCCTATGACTTCTATGATAAGTGTCAACAGGGCTGGGAATGAAGCTCAGTGGTAGAGAGCTTGCCTAGCATGTAGAAGGCCTTGGAGTTTAACCTCCAACACTGCAAGAAAAGGAAAGGGAGGAAGAATAAAGGAAGGAAAAAGAGAGAGGACGGGGGTGGCGGGGGAGAAAGGAATGATTCATTACAAGGGCAAATGATACAAACATAAATATGTGATGTCCTAGCTCTTTAAAAATTTTACAAAGGTTTAGAATTTTCGTTATATCAAACTGGGTGATATTATGACTGTATAGAACACACATAATAAGTTCTGCCCTCACCTGGCCTAAACCAAATCGACAGGTAGGTGACCTAGAGAGGACTCCTCTCTGGCTCCACTGGGACAGGCTTGAACCTGCGCTACTTCAGGATGCACAGCCTAGGGGAGGGGCCCAGATTCCCTGACAGGCAGTGTGAGTGTGCTAGGCCCCTGGGAGCCCATGACTGGGGCTCCCATGCCCATGCCCACAGCGCCCCCCAACCTCACTGGTTCACAATGGTCTGCTCTGTTGCCTGGTGCAGGTTTATACTCCTGACCAAAGGCCTGAGTGTCCATAGCCTCTTTTGGCTGGGCACGGTGTGGTTGTGGAGGGAATAGCCAAAGTAGCCTTAGGGTGATGGAGGGGCAACAGGTGCCCCTCAGCCATACTTGGGGGTGGTCCTGGAAGAAGTAAGTAGGGTTGTGGTGTGCCTTGTCTGAAGACATGGAAACACACCCTAGTCCTTATGGCTGTCCATGGGAGTTGGGGATACGTACAGCTATTGGATTTTTTGTTGTTGTCTTGTTTTTGTGGAGAAGTTTTCAGTCTGTGAGAAGCAGGCAGTACTTGAGAAGAGAAAAAAAGCTTGCTCTAAAACTTTCTGAATTAATTGAGGAAAAATGTGGACTACTTGAAAAAGTCAGTCTTGTCCAAAAAGAATATGAAGGCTTAGAGTCATCTTTAAAGAATGCCATTTTGGAGAAGGAGTCAATACAAGTGGAAAATTTGGAGGCAATATACGCAAACCTGGATAGGTCCATATCTAAATTTGAGGATGAAATGCTCTGTCTAGAAGAAGAGCTAAAAGAAGGGAAAACTAAATATTCTCAACAGGCTGAATTGATAGAGTATATATCAAAAAGTATTAAGTCCCTAGAAGAGGAATCAAAATCCCTCAGATCACATATACCTGAAGCTACAAGAACCTTAACAATATTTCAACTGAATGCAGAAGGATTGAAGGTATGAATAAAAGAAGTTTCAAATGAAAATTCCCAACTCCTGGAAAGTCAGAAACAGCTTTTACAGGAAGCGGAAGTATGGGAAGAAGAAGTGAATGGCCTTAATAATCAGAAAACAACACTTGAAGACTCCAAAGAACATGAAGAACAAGTTCTAAGAGAGAAAGAAAATCACATTAAGTCTCTGAACAATTGCTGAAAGATTGGGCTCCTGTGCTTGAAGAAGACCTAACAGACGATGGTAACTTGGAGTTGGAAATGAAAAGTGAATCAGAAATCAGTGCTCACTTAGAGGATCAGCCAAAAGGAGCTTTGAAGAAACAGCTTTATGCTGATAAGTTAAATTCCTCTTTTAAAATCTTAGAAGGAGAAAGAAATCAAGTTTTTACTTTAGTATCTGAAGTCATTGAAACAAAGGAAGACCTTATAGAAGAGATTGAAAATCTTAAGACACAACAAGCATCTCTGCAGTCAAAAAATACACAATTTGAAAGTGAGAATCAGCATCTTGAACAGAAACTTAAACTCATCATTGAAGTATATGAAGCAATTGTAATGAAACTCCAGAGGAAATTAACAGAAGAGGAAAATGACCAGGTAGTGCAAGAGGAGAAACTTTTCAAAATGGAGGAAAACATCAGCCATGCAAGTGAACAGCTTAAGACCTATAGAAAGCAAGTCAAAGACCTTGAAGAAGAGTTAGAGAGAATCATTTATTTTTATCAGGGGCAGATTACACACTATGAGGAAAAAGCACAAGATAATGAGTGGGCAGCTCAGAGTGCTGAAAGATACCTCAATGATTTAGGGAAACAAGAGGCTCACGACAGTCAAAACTTCACCGAAAATGAGTCTAAATTTAAAAAAGATCCTTCTGCACTTCATGTTTCAAATACAGCCATTGGCAGAGAGCATTTCCCAGATGGTCCCTCACCATTGGGTTGACCTTCATCTGAAATGAGAGCTCCACTTTTGGAAAAGGAGGGTCCACTCAGACCACCTTTGCTTCCAGGGGTAGGAGGAAGAGGCTCAAGAGGCCCAGAGAATCCTCTGGGCCCTCAAATTATCAATGAAAGAAGAGAATCCGGCTATGATGGGATAACTGATCATCAGAGAGTGCCTTATAACATTAGGCCCCTGTCATCTCCATGGGAACAGAACCCTAAGATGATGATCGCTCCACCAGGCCAACCATATTGTGATCTAAGTCTTCCTCTACCAAGGCAAGATGGATATTATTCTAATTATGGTGGACCATCGGGACCAGCAGAACTCAGAAGTTCTACTCTGCCGCCTTTGGATCAAATAGATGGGCCTATGTTTTCTGAAATGGAATCCAGTAGAAATGATTCCAAAGTTGATCTTGATAATTCCAATGTGCCCAATTCATCTCTCCCTGCTGAAAACCAAGAAACCGCCTCTGGCTTTGCTTTCTCACCTTTCCCTCCAATCAGAGGTCCATTGTTTCCAGTGGATCCAAGGAATCAGTTCATGAGAAGAAGACCTTTTTTTCCTCCACCTCCTCCAGGAAACATGTATGGAGCATCTCGAGAATATTTTCCATGGGGCCCACCACCCCCTCCATTCCCAATGGAGCCATGGTGTTTTCCTCATTATCTCCCCCCAAGAGCTGAATTTCCCCCCCTCCCTCCCATGCATTCTGAAAGTAGAAGTGAGTTCCCTTCAGGGTTGATTCCACCTTCAAATGAGCCTGCTACCCAACATACAGAACCACAACAAGAAACTTGACAATATTTTTTATCTGACTTCAAAAGTAATCTATCTCTCATTTTTAGTTTAAATATAACTGCTTTTACTCAAATGATTATACTTTTAAATGATTAAGCTTCCATTTGAAGCTTAATGGAATTATAATTGTTAGCATTGTATTTTGTAAATAAAGATTATTTAAAAATTGACTTTATCAGTAAATTATTTTTATTTTATTTTATTCTAGATAGAGTAAGTCAATTTGATTAATCTACTATTACATAAGCAACAATGGGAGTTCTATATACATAATCTTGTAGTCAAGGATTTTTTAAAATCAAATCGAAGCATGTGCCTTTATGCAAAGAAATGTACGTATTATGATTGTAGCATATGTGAAAGTAACTATGCTTAATGAAAGATTTTAATTGATTTAAAGTTTTGTTTAGCATTGAGGATAATCATAAAAATCAGCTAGTTTTTCCATAAAAAAAATAACCAGAGCATATTAAGAGTATAAAAGAAAACATGACTGTCATGTAAACAGGAGATTTTAAGTACAAAAAATTTCCAGGTCTCGGGAAAATTTTTAGGAAATCTAAAACCCCATTTAAGTTCACTTGATCAACATTGTCCCTTATATCTTTTCTTTTATTCCCATTTTCATAAAATTAAGAATTGTAGAATGCTCTGGGTTTGGTCCTTTTTAAAATTTGTTCTATTAATTGGCATGTCTTAGGGTAAGATGTGCCCGTTCAATCAAGGATTGTTTGGTAGGAGTATGAGTAATTCCATGGGTTAAAATTGTATTTCAATGAGTCCTAAATTGTGCAAAACCCAGAGTATATATGCAGGGGCGTTATCTGTTTTTAAATAAGCAGGCTTGCCCAGGGTGGCAAAGCAGAGTAATAAATGAGAATTGTAAGCAGATAAATTTTTAGATCAATCTGCAGTAGCTCAAATAAACCCAGAATGAGTATCAGTGGAAATACAAAGAAAGGAATAAGGATGGAGAGACGGGAAATGGGTTAATACCCATTTGCCTAAGTGCTTTAGAAATGTATAAATTAAGGCCACAGAGAAATATTTTATACCCAAAGAATGGTTAAAATAAAAGGACGGATGACACCATATGCTGGTGAGGATACAGAACAACTGAGATTCTCTGACATTACTGGTGAGAATGTAAAATGATAGAAAGGCTTTGTAAAACAGATTGACAATTTCTTATCTACACATGTTTATAAAATCTCCCAGAGTTTCTTTTTTTCCCCCCATTGGTTTGTCACTTTTGAAAGTCTTTAATATTTTTATTAGTTGCTCAAGACAATACAATGATCTTGACATATCATACATTTGATTCAAATGGTGTATGAATTCTCATTTTTCCACCTGTACAGATTGCAGGATCACATTGGTTATACAGCCACGTATATGCATACAGCAATACTAGTGTCGGTTGTATTCTGCTGCCCTCCTTATCCCTCTCTCCCCTCCCCTACACTCCCATCCCTATTCTCTACCCATTGTACTGTGACACTTATCTCTCTTTTTTCTCTTTTTTTCTTCCCTTCCCCCTCACAAGATCGCATATGTATTTTGTGAAACCATGAGGGTCTCCTTCCGTCTTCCATGCAATTCCCCTTCTCCCTCCCTTTCCCTCACTCCTCTTTTCCTTGTTTCATGGTAATCTTCTTCTCATGCTCTTCCTTCCTACTGTTTTGAGTCACTTCCCTTATATCAAAGAAGACATTTGGCATTTGTTTTTTAGGGATTGGCTAACTTCATTTAGCATAATCTGCTCTAATGCCATCTATTTCCCTGCAAATGCCATGATCTTTTTATTTTTTAGTGCTGAGTATTATTCCATTGTGTATAAATGCCACATTTTTTTATCCATTAATCTATTGAGGGGCATCTAGGTTGGTTCCACAGTCTAGCTATTGTGAATTGTGCTGCTGAGCTGGAAAGAATGCTGTAAAGTTTCTAAACTGATGTTTCTGAGATTTCATTCATTTCAATTCTATGAGTGTTCTGAATGTAACCTCTTCACAGATTTGTTTTTCAAAATAGAAGTGATCTTATGAAGGCACAATCTAAACTTTAAATATGTAGGATAAAGCCCTGCTGGCAATTTTCTCTCCTTTTAAACAAAGCTTTATAGTTTAATAAAACCATATTAATTAAATAATTATAAATTATTTGTTTTGTTCAGTGAAAATAATTCTGAATAAGAAAAAAAGGCTACAGACTGAGCAAATTCCTTGAAGCATCAGACAGCTTATAAGTATTATAGATAGAATTATACCTCCCCAAAATTCATGGATTAAACCTCTAAGACCCCTCCCACATGTGGCTGGCTTTAGAGAGAGGGTTTTTAAAGAGGTCGTTAAGGGCAAGTGAGGTCATAGGGATGGGACCTTAATTTAAAAGGACTGGTGACCTGTTATAGAAAGACACCAGGAACAGCTCAGTGTACAGAGAAGTCATGTGAGGCCACAGTAAGAAGGTGATTATCTTTCAGCCAAGATAACAAGCTCAGGAGAAACTGTGAAACTTGTCCAGGCAAGGGACTTGTACAGCTCAGCCTCTCCACTTTCTCGTGAATTCAAAGAATTAAATCCATAGACACAAAGGTGACAACAAACTAATAGGATTTATTACAGTAATAAAAGAAGATCTCCAGAAGAGGTAGGGTCTCCTAAGAGAGGGTTGCCAATGAGTATGTATTGCCTAGGTGTTGAGAGCCACAGCCAAAGGGGCCCCAGCAAACTTCCAGCTGCCAGCAAACTTCTAGCTGCCAACTGATTGGCTCCTCTGCAGTGATGCTCATTGGGTTGTTTCCCTGCCCTTTCAGACCACGGAGCTGCTCATTGGGGGACTTTTTTTGGCTCTGCCCACGCGACCCAGCCAATCGGCCTCAAGAGCAGGAGGAGTGGGGGAGGTTGAGAGGCTTGTGGGAAGCCGGTGGTGGCAGTTGGGCTCTGAAGATTTTCCTGAAGAGCTGTGTGGTGTGGTGTGTGTGTTCTAAAAATAAAGTTCGTTTCTTTTGACAAGTGGCTCCTGAATTGTGCCCAGCCAGACTGTGGCAACTAGGGGATTTCATGGACTCCATCCATCTATATGGGTGACTGTGGGATGACATGTAAATACAGAACTCAGAAAAGGGCCATCAACTTTCTCTGTCTTCTTGAGCAAATCTAGAGAAAAGTATTTTCTAAGCCTTTATTAGCACAAGGTGGGTATGATGTGGTTTATGGGCACAAGAGATAGTACTTGGGGTAAGGATAGATTTTGTGGTTGGCTATCAAAAGGGATAAGGATAATTAAGGAAGAACTGTTGTGCTGGAAACTGTCTCAGTAAGAGGATGTTCTCCAGGATAGGATGGCACGGTCTTGTTCCCTTCTTCCCTTCTCCTCCTAGGCCCTTTTCCTATGTGCCTATTAGAGGACTACCTATCTACCTCATTGGAACCTTGACTTCATTCTTCCAGCCTCCATAATTGTGAAAAATACATGTTCTGTTTAACTCCAGAAACACCCAGTCTATGGCATTTCATTACAGCAACCTAAGCCAACAAATGTAAACTTTGAATACAGCAAGGAAGTAAATGAGCATAGATCACACGATATTGGAAAGAGCTAGAGAAAAGGGCATGGCTTGCCTTATCTATGGAAAGACAAGTAGTTAGATCAGGAAGATGATCTGTAGTTTTAAGCCAAAGCCTCAGAGAGAAGTCAGACCTCAAACAGGATTAAGAAATGCACATAAGTTATTTACAACTTATGAACTGAGTTTATGCCCCATCAAATTTTATACATTGAAACCTTAAGGCCAGATTGGATGGTGTTGAGAGGCAAGACTTTGAGAAATAATTTGGTTTAATGAGGTCATGATGCTGGAGCCCTCATGATGAGATTAATTTCCTTACAAGATGAGGAAGACATTACTGTTTATGCTGTGAGCCAGGTAAGGATACAAGGAGAAGGAGGCTGACTACATGCCACAAAGTGGGCCCTCACCAGACTCTGGATCTGCCACTACATTGACCTTGGACTTACTCCTTCAAAACATGGAGAAATAATTTGTTATTAATGCCTTCCAGTATGGTATTTTTGTTAGAGGAGTTATACTAAATCACACCTATTTCTAAAATTCTGCAAAAGCAGGTATTTTAGATAGATAACAATTGGTGTACTTGAGCCATGCTCAAGTGTATAAGAAAATACATTCAAGTGAAATAATAATAAATGTAGATTCTCCCATTAGTTATCAAATATGAATAATAGTTAACATCTTTGAATTCAATTTCTTCATGTACACTAGTTTTCATAAAGCTCTCATTCTACTGAAATTATGTCTTTATTTTTCCATGACAAATAAGTAAATTAGTACATCTAGAATTGAACATGTAGTTTACTTAATATTTTATGGAATTTACAAGTTAGAAACAGACTTAAAGAACATCAGACAAGAAAAAAAATGGACTCACTTTGTGGTAAGCCATTCTTATAGACCGTGGCCGCCATTAGAAGATGGTGCCGGCTTCCACTGTGGCCTGTGATAAACAACTCCTTTTTTGGAGAGTTGGCGCGCAATCCCTTACCACCCTATGAGAGAGATCCACGTGGCAGCTTGGGATTGGTATGCGGGAGGCTTTATTAGGCTGTGCTTGGGCGCTTGGCGGGGGTGTCGCTAGAAGATGATACTTGAATCAAGGCCTGAATAAACTGCTGAAAGAAGAATCCTGTGTCGTGTTTTCCGTTGCCGGCGAGGGGTCACGACAATTGGTGGCCCGTACGGGGAATTATATTCCTCGAACCCAGGATCCAGAACTTTCAGCAGTCAGGGTGGTGCACCGGTAAGTTCCCAGGTAAAGTGGGAATCCGCAAGCAAATAGCGGGGTGCTCTCTCTGTAAATAGAGAGAGAGCGGGAAAAAGGACGCTCCCCTGTAAAAGGAAGAGAGCGGGGAATTCATAGAACGGAACGCTCCCCTGTAAAAGGAAGAGAGCGGGGATTTTTGTACCTTCACTTTCT